GATGCTTGCTCGACAAGTTGAACATGTTGTCTTCATTGACATGATTGGTGGTGCCTTAAATTTATTCTTGCCATAATCTTTTGCACATTGACTTGTGTTTGGTTCAACTTGAGTTTAGCATTTTATTTGGAGTTTATTTGAGTTTGCTTCTATTTTTGGTGGATGCCTCAAATTCAAAGTGTTTTAACTATGTGTATGCATCCAATCCTTGACCTAGTTTTGGGATGTGATCTTATGTGATCCATTGAGGACCTCTTAAGCCTTGTTATCATTTGTTAACATGCTTGAGATGCTGCCTTGCATGCTTATAGGTGCATTGGATGTGCACCTTGTGTCACAAGTTTCGTTTGATCATGTCTTTCCACTTAACTTTGAAGTGTGAGATGGTGCATGGACTTTGGTCCTTCAATTTGATTTGATCATTCTTGTGTTTGCTTGATAACTTGGTTTTGAATTTGAGACACGTCACTTGAGTTCACTTCTGACCTTGATGGTTATGTGCTTGTTCATGATGCTTTGGTGATGTTGGTTTTACTTTGAAGATGTTGTGAACAATTGAACCTCTTTTGAGATGTTTGGGTGCTTTTCTTTATTTGATCATGAGTGAGTGTTTGGTTGAGATGTTTATGATGTGGTTTCTGCCCCATTCTCTTTCTCCCCTCACTTATTTGATTGTGTTTCTTTGTTTAACACCTTTCTTCTTATGATAATTGATGGCATTTGATTGTAGGAGCTTGCTTCTCTCATTTCGTCTCATCTTTCTTGACTTGTTTAAGTCTTCCATCTTTTTGACTTGTGCTTTTCTTTGATGAATGCTTCATGATTGCATATTTTGTTTGATTTTGCATATATATTTCCATCTTGCATTGACTTGTCTAAGTCATTCTTTCTAACTTCATTTTGTGATTGATTTAGCATTGTGTTTACTTGTGCTTGTTCACATGATCCCTTGGGATTCATAGTCCCTTTGTTTAAGATGGGAGTAGGAGAGACATTAGGATTTTAATCAATTGCATGATAACATTAGGTAGAACCTTTTTCAATCCCAACTCTAGGATCACTTTGCATGACAACATTAGGGTTTACAGTTCCCTTTAGAGTCCTTGTGTCTTCTCTTCTCATCTCAAAACTATTTAAGACACTTAATAAAGAATGACGAATGTTGTATGATACGAGCTTTAAGTACATGAGGAATGATAAGTGGGGAGGTATCTCTTCACGTTGTCTAGAGTGTTTAGCGTATCCCCTTTGGGCGATATGCAACGCATTCACCCTTATGTCATAATCTTTAGTGCAACATAAGTTTCAAACTAACTCAATTCACTTCTTCTAAAAAACACAAAAAAAAACACAAACATAAGTTTCTGTAAACCTCATTTTCTGAAAGAGGATGTTAAGTTTCCGTTCTACCGCAAACAGGCATCGTCCCTAACTGCTAGAATGGAGATTTAACATTGCTCATAAAACACTTGAACCAACCAGTGGTCTAGGTTTCCCGAACTACGTTTGCTCTGATTTCTCATACCAGATGAGGATATGTAGGCACAAGACGATGATGTCTTTGCGAACAACCTCCCCCCATCATCCATAGTTTCCCGAACTACGTTGACTCTGACTTTCCCATTGCATGAGGGAATACGTAGGCATAGGGCGGCGATGTCCTATCGAGCCTGTTCTTTCTGTTCACCCCCGTTTAGTAGTAGTTTTTAGATAGTTTTCACCCAGAGATTAAACAACAAGCATGGATCCCGTTGAGTACAATGAACGTGAGAGGTGCTCATACCTTCCCTTTGCGTAACCGACTCTCGAACCCTATATTTGGATTGTGATGACCTTGTATTTCCCGTTCTCTTAGATTTTCTTTGATCATGTCCTTTTCCTCTCTTTGGGATAAATAACATTCGGTGGTGACTCTTTTGTCTGTTTTCCAGCCTTTTTTCGCAGTTGCGACATTAACAAGCAAATTGAAACAAATTTAAGAGCAGTATTTCTACATAACTATGAGCAGCAACTCTTTGTGTCTTTTGAGATTCTTTGACAGAGTATATACTTTTAGCGTTTGACTTGTGAGATTGTTACCTTCTGCAATGCATCATGGTCTTCTATTTATATCTACCTTGAGGGATAGAAATGTCTTTTGGTTTGGCCAGTTGTCTTCAACGGTAGAAATCCTGAAGAGTAGAAGTTGTAAAAGCTTTGAAAGCTTTCTGATCATTTCTGAGCAAAATCTCTACTTTGTATATTTTAGGAAAGATTTGTTTGTACAGATTCTTGGTCTTCACATTTTGCTTTGGACTTTGAGCATTTGATCCTTATCATGGGATTTGAACATTAGCGTTGAGAGTCTTCAGAATCCTCTCTTTAGAAACGAACGCCATGTTGAGATGCACATATATTCTTCATCAGAAACCTTCATATGTATCAAGATCTTGTTGAGTTGCGCTTCAAATTTGATTCCATTTAGAGTTGTATATCTGCGCGCTTAAAATATATTTAGAGTACCAAATTGTTACATATATGGATTGTTATCATCAAAACTAGACATTATATTCAGAATCAAGATCTTGTTCTAACACAACATGCAATCTGACCTTAGCCTCTTCTTGAACATCCAACATTTTAGTTTGTCATTTGTGCCCCCCACTACTACTGCCACTTTTTGAAGCAATCAATTTACTCGCGTAAGGTTTCCTTCTTTTTATGAGTTAATCCACTAAGTAGGCAATGGTTATCGTTTTTTGCTTTTGGGTGGTAGGCTGGCAGTGAAGGTGTCACCCACATCCTTCCATAAATCTATACTTTCTTATAGATAGATTTTGAACAACATCATCGCAACTCCCATTAGGGCTAGTGCAAAGAGCGTGCACTTTACTACCTCTTGGGCGTGGTAGTAATCCAACTTGTCATCTATACATGTTAAATATGCTCATTTGGATCTCCGGTTCCTTTGTAACTTTGCAGGTTTCTCTAGAGACCTCCAGATTCTGCTATCAAGGATTCACACATATAATTGGTTCTTATTTCACCATGAAGCTGGAGCATCTATGGGTGGAAAAATAGGATTGGCCCGTCGGGAATGTCCAATTTACCTACACTTGTTTGCGGGCAATTTTTTTCATTTTTGCATTTTTAGGTATAAAAGATATAGTGTTTGCGGGCTCGTCCCACCCAGCCTTCAGTTTTTTGCGGGACAGACTATGGTTATAAGCTCACACCTTTAATCATGCCCACCACGCCAGACCAAATTTTTTCTGGGATTTTGCGGTCGGACCTAAACGAGGCGGGCATGCCTGTCTTCCACCCTTAGAAGAGTTTATGTCATATTTTTCCTTTCTTCAAGAATGATGCTTGTCTGTTACCAAAAAAAGAGTATGACTATCGTTCATTCCTTTTGAATCAGAAAAAGGATTTATATGTCTTTGGTGTTGGTTGCAAGATGGTGACCTTGAGATTTCTCTTTATGGCGTAGCCGAGCCAATGGGGGCCGACTCCGGTGAGACGACTCGATTTCTCATGGAGGTTGCCTCCCGTACAATATTGTCCTTGGTAGAGCATATTGAAGGTTCTCTTCAATCTTGAGTATTCTATTGACCAGGATTTATGAGTTTTGTTGTTCGACTTGATTGTAAACAATATCCATCAAGTCAGTGGAGTTCTGTTGTTGTACTCCAATATTTTCTTGCAACAATTGAAGGCTCATGAGCCTTTTCTATCCAAGTACAGCAGGTTGTGAAGTAGGTCAGTGTGATGGTTAGCTATGGCAAGGTTTACGTGTAAATATGAAGAATGAAAGAGCTTAGAATGCTCCTTGACCAACTCTTAGAGGAGCACAATCTTGTTATGTAGGGTCAAATGGACATTCCACCACAGCTGAATTGTCTTTCACTAGAGGATGATAAGGGAGAGGCAGAGCTTTGGTAGCTTTAGCAACTGCAACGACATCTTGCGTTGAAAGATAAACCAACTGGCTTTGGATGTCACCATGCTTGATGAATCTGATAATAAATATGCTTGACGGGGATATTGAAACTTCAAGAAAGATGATCAGTGATATGAATCTTTGTTGGAGAATCGATGGTTATTTTGTGGAAATTAACGGGAATCATAAATTGATTTCACACGGTGCCAATGTTCGGTTAGGAACTAGAAATGAAAGATGGGGTGGAGAAGTTGTGTCTCGCTGTGGTGGAGCGTATTTGTGATGAGACGGAGTGAGCAAATCTGCAAGATTAACACTCCAACGCCAAAGTTAATAAAAGAAATGAAAAGTGATGTGTAAGTGAGATTGAATTTGAATATCCGAAATGACACACTTAACTCTTTTATCAAGAGAGGTTGAAACAACTTGCGCATGATGCATTGATCTATTCGGATAATCATCTGATTGAATCAAACGGTAATTGATGCATTGAAGAGCAGAATTATGTGTTCATTGCTGAAGAAAAATCTAGTTGTTCTTTGCGCCTTTAGAGTCTATGTTCGCTGTTGAGCTCTTTAGTACGTGAACGGTCCAATACATATACATTATAAAATTGAAAATAGAAAATATTAAATTTAAATTATGACAAATGATATTGATTAGCGTAGTCAAATCTTACACAAATGTAATTTAATAAGTGAATTATATATATGATGACGCCATACTAATATTCAATTAACATGATTATGAATTAAAATAGATTTACATGAATCCGACATATATCAAGTAAAGTTGCTTCAAAGCATAGAAATAAAATCTAACAATCTCTTTCAAGTTCAAAATATTTTATAGCAATTTGCGTGTTCCACCCTTGCAAGTTTCCAACTTCATCAGTGTGTAAGCAACAATTAAATCATTTGCTTATTCTTCGAAACTTATCAAACCAATTAATTAACTTCAAAGAGTTAACTTGTTCTATAAACTATTCATATACAAATATGACTTTGAAGCTTTCAATGTTTAGAAAATTATACATTTTCTTTGCTTATGCAATTTGTTACTCCAAAAAACCTTTCTTCCGATGTTGGTTCTTCTTCTAAAACCAATTACATTTCTAGTGTCAACGTTATGGAGTTTATTAACTCGTTTAATCTTCAACACTATCGCTTACACAATTGTGCTGTTAATTCAAGGTTTAAAAACTTCTGGTGAAGGCTCACTTGGAATATTTCAACAAGTTGCGGAGATTATAAGAGCGTGTTTTGAGTTCGTCCTTCAGTTATTAATTGGTTCAATAAGTTCCATAGTCTCTTTAGTGTTAGATGCTGTGAAAAATGTAATCACAGGATCAGTTTCTGCTACGGGATCGATGGCTGCTGAACTTGCAGAGAAATTGAAGACTTCGTTTGAAGAATCATTGAAACAGGTGCCAGAACTGCTTGAGGAAGTGTTTGATATGATGTCAAATATGGTAACTGATTTGTGGAACAATTATAAAGAAGCTGTGGGATATGTTGTAGGAAATGCTTGATTTTGTATTGATACTCTTGCAAAGATCAATGATACTAACTTAGATTATTTCATTGTTATTCTTCTCCTTGTAACTTTTGATAATCTTTATTATTTGATATTTTTTGTGGTCTTTTACATGGACTTTATCATTTTTATTTTTGTTGTCTTTTTTCAAGTAATAAAAAAATTGATAGGTAAAAAATTAAAACATAAATAGAAAATAAAAACCTAAAATTAAATCGAGCCTGAACATTTTGTTACAATATTTAGTGACATAACATTAGTTTTGTTGAGTAACCTACCATTAACATTAAAGAGTCTTGTTAGATATAAGTGTGATTGCGCTTGCGTGCTTACTTATGAAAGACCAATATAATTTTTTAACATAGAAAAAAATTAATTTAAAATATATTCATAATCTCAAAATCTTAAATGCATTTTAAAAAATTTGAATATTAATTATTTATTCTTATATGTAGGATGGACAAGAGATCGAATTGGACGGGTTCGGACTCAAATGTTTCACCCAATCCAAACCGTAGTTGATAATATAAGATCTATTTCCGTCCAAATTTTCAAACAGTTTGAACGAGTTAGGTCTAGATGGATTGCGGGTTAATCCAAACGATTTGTTCGGATTTTTGACTTAATTGACTTTTCAAGCCGAATGATATATTATGCACTTTTCACAATATTTTAACAATATACAAAAGCTTCTAATTTAGTAATGGCCAAACATTCAACTCCATTTTACTTGTTTCCTTTTTTCCTACTAAAATTTAAACATAATCGTTGTATAAAAGAAACAAAGAAAGTTCCTTTTGTATTCTTGTAGTTGCTTCAATGTCGAGATTCCAATGATAAAGCAATGCTTTCCTAATGATAAGAAAGATTTTTATTGACACGTTATGTTGACACATACATAACATGTCGACACATAATAATTGAGACGATGGATGAATATACATTAAGAACTACGAACTAACTATAAACAAACAAGATATTATAATACAATACTTATTTTATTTTTAATTAATTATTGTTTGTATTTGAGAGTTAAAATTTTTATTTTCAAATGTCATTTTTTTTATTTTCGCCATCACACGATTGAATTTTATTTTACATTGATGTAACTTATTTCAAATTTACATATATAATTAAACACATTTTATATGATATTAAATTGGATAATATTTCGTAAAGGTGCAGACAACTCTATTTCACATGTCACTATCAGCACAATATCTATTTTATTTTTAATCAATGAATTTATAGAATCATTATTTATTTTACAATTAAATAAATTATTTCAAATTATCATGTATATCTATATACATTTTACCCATGTAGATGCACGGGTATCTTGCTAGTTTATCTTTCTCGATGAAATTCTTGAGCTTTATTTTTCTGTTTAGAGATTTTTAATCTATCTCACTCTTTATCTCTCATAATCTAGGTTTTAAAATTTTTCATTAATTTTTTTTAATATTTTTCATTATAATTACTATTCGTTAATCAATCATTAGGTTAGAATATAATTCTTGTTTAAATAGAAAGCTTTGTTTTTTATTTTGAAAGTTGTTAGGTATCAGGTATGTTACTATATATCTTTTTTTAAATGTGGGTTATGTTTGAATTAGGTTTTGTACATCTCAGAATTCTCTGAGGTCGGGTTTTTGGAAAATCGAGTACGAGTATAACAGTAAGTCGAGTAACCATAGATTTACACAGGTCAGAATCTGGTTAGGAGCCACTTAGATACAAAGCAAGCACATTAGAGCCGGTCTCGTGACAACACTAACAGATGGACAAGCTGGGTCCAACTTCACTGCTAGGATACCAAATGGACAGTCACAAGAGACAGTTACGAAATGTTCTATGATTGCAATGGAGTTACAGACATCGATGGGAAATAAGTTATTGAATAATTTATAAAGGGTGACAGACATTATCCGAAGCCACATTAATGAGGGATGTGAAGAAGCTGGCTTTGAAGAATCATTGATGAGTCAAGCAGTATAAAAGGAAGTTTCCTCCATGAAGGGAACGACAATTGTGAAGGTTAGAAAAGTACACAAGAAGGGGGATTGAATTGTGTTTTCTGTTTTCTTAATTTGCGTCTGATCAAATTTCAAAATTTAAACTGATGTTCATATTTTGGTTATACTTAGCAGGAGAATGTTAACAGGAGCAAATAAATAATAGCATAAGACAAAACAAATTATACTAGTTCCCCAAATGAGAGTAGTCCAGTCTCCTTGCTTTACAAGAGATTTTTATTATAATCAAATCATGATTACAATCACTTACGTATTCTGCATAAGACTTTCACAATGCTCAGACCCTAAGTCTGAGACTTCTTACTTAAACCCCTAAGGCTCAAGACTTCCTTGCTCAAGTCCTAAAGACTCAAGACTTCCTTGCTTAGACCCTTGGCCTAGGACTTTCCTGCTCAGGTCCCTCAGTCCCGAGACTTCATGCTCAAGCCCAAGACTTCTTACTCAGATTCATGGTCCAAGACTTCCCTGCTTAGGTTCCATGAACCCGATACTTTCTGCTCAAACCCCTCAGGTTCTAAACTTCTTCTCAGACCCCCGCTCCGAGACTTCCTTGCTCAGGTTCCACGAACCCAAGATTCATGCTTAAACCCCACGGATTCAAGACTTCTGCTCAATTAATCCACTTGATTAAGACTTTCATTGCTCTAGCACATAGAAGGAGACTTACATGGCTCAAACATCTTTGTGAGAGACTTGGTTGCTCACTCAATCTACTTGATTAAGACTTTCAATTCTCTATCACATAGTAGGAGACTTACATGGCTCAAGCATCTTGGCAAGAGACTTAAACTGCTAAATAACATGTTCAGTATAATAGAGAACAAGGTGTACTTGATAAAAATATCAGAGGTACATGGAAAACATCATATCAAATACCTAAATCTCTTAAGATTTCTATGATATTCAATGTGTAAGAAATCTTAAGGCTTTTACAAATACAACCTGTAACAAAAATTCAGCATACTCGATTGTGTTGATAATTTTTTATCTTGTTACTCCTCCATCAGGTTTATCCTTGTTAAAGATTCAATTTGAACCTTTAGCTACTCATATAGCATTTGCAGAAGACTAGCCGTTGGAGAGATAACTTGATTAAATTTCTTTGCTTTCTCCATAATACAAGAGACGTTGAAGATAAATACACCAAAAGATTTTGATCCATTGTATAACATGTTTAACCATTGAGTCTTCAAAGAGATCTTATACCATAGAGTCGTTGAGAGTAGATATCCGTAAAGCATACCAACTTTTCTTGAGCCTTGTGAACTAAGACTCTAGCTGACAAACTGATTTGACAATGCAGCTTGCTTTCTGTAGTACATATAACTTCAGCTTTATCACTAACTCTGAATGATCACCAGTATCGAATTTACATTCACCAAGTTAGAGGCAATTATGTTGCTTCTTCTGATGATCATACCTTCAGCTTCATATTCTACGTCAGACATCACTTAGAGAGTGTTCTTCATATACTACACCACTAAAAGCTACCAATTCAGCTTCTCTCAAATGTGCCCTTGTATATCAGATCTTTAATATATATCTATAATTATTAGAACCTACATACATAAAACACACATCAAATATATCGATTATTCTTTAAATACTTTGCTATCATCAAAACCCAAGGAATATATGTCATGAACAAATATTGTTCTAACAATCTCCCTTTTTTTTGCTCCAATATTTTCTGCAGAGATTCTCGATGAGCCTCGAAGCTCATTAGCAGGGACAAAACATATATTTTTGACGGTGTATGCAACAGATGATACACCATATTATATTCACTCTTTTTGATCAGTTTCAGCATTTCATCATTATCTAATTTCTGGTTTACATCACTTGATTGACCGGATTCAATAGAAGTCTTCAATTGAGTTTGCTTACCCACAACACCTTCACTTGTCTTCAATGGTACATTAGCAAATACTCGACCACTTATGGTCACACGACCTACATCTGCAATTGTAACAACAGAGGGAAGAGAATGAATGGGAACATCTTTTCCATCCTCTAACATAGAAGCATTCTGTTTACAGGAAACAACTTTATCTTATTCATATGGTACCGGGCCAGGAAAACGAATGACCAAAGGTGGCACAAAAAATTTCTAACTATTGTAAGAAATTATAACTCGCTCAGGGATGTTGAAACGTGGAACTATGACATCCACCTCATTCTAAACATCATTTCTATTTGTAGTAATGATCGGTGGTTTTTATGCGTTATTTTACCGTTAGTTTTAGTTAATCTTATCTGATTAGTTTCATTTTATTTCCGTTTACCGTATTTTATGCTTTGGTTGTGTCTTTTCAATTTTTTTAGCTTCAGGTAAACAATCAGGAAGAATCAAAGCAAAAACCAAGAAAATTTGCAGGAATTCGGAAGAGTTTTTGAAAGGGAAACAGTGGCCTGACACGACCACCCATGTCACCTAACACAGACCATGTCAAGAGGAAACCTAGAGAAGAGATTTTGGTGATAGGCAGTGGGCTAACACGGGTGTCGCTACTGCGAAAATCGGCGCCGGCTGACAGAAGAGTCGCCACCGGGCGTTATTTATCCCAACGGAGGGAAAGGAAACGTTCGAAGTAAACCTCGCAAAAAACGGGAAAGGTATGGTCGTCGCAACCAAAACCTGGGTTCGGGAGTCGGTTACGCAAGGGGAAGGTATTAGCACCCCTCACGTTCGTCGTACTCGACGGGATCCACGCTTGCTTGGGTTGTCTAAAGGATGCAAAACAATCTATCTACGGCTGCTAAATCTAAAAGGAAAGAAATTGACTCGATAGAGCGTCGCACTCTATGCCTACGTATTCTCGAGAGAGAAAGTCAGAGTCAACGTAGTTCGGGAAACTACAGGGAAAATAGCTCGCCAAGACTTCGCGTCTTGTGCCTACGTACTTCCACACTGCATGGAAGATCAGAGCTTTACGTAGTTCAGGCTAACTACAGGTAA